TAACGCCGACCACCTTTCCTGCCTGCGCTGTGCTTTAATTGAAAAAAGCATTTTCGGCACCAGAGAATTTATGAAAAATAAAGCTCGAACAATTAAAAAAGTGCCGAGTTTTTCCAGCCAGCCATACAAATTAAATCGCACAAAAAACGTACGGGGGACGATCCCCTATTTATTTATTGAATGGAGTTTAAATTGCATTTAATAACACTGAATACCTGAACTTTTTTCGCGTTTCAACATATGTAAAGGGGCGAATTCTATTCGACGCAAATTATTGCTTTATCCATTTTTAATCAAGGCTGTAACTCAAAATACAACAAAATTAAATTCTTTGATGGCCTCGGCTTAGAGTGCGTGTGCATGGAAATTGTTTTTTTTCCAATCTTAATTTAAGTCTGCTTAATTTTAAACACACAAACACAGAAACACACACACACACACACACATGGCCAGCAGCTGCGGCATTATAAAAATTAAATGCTTTCTGCTGCCTACTTTCCGGGGCTGTCGAGCTTTTATTTCATTGCAGTTGGCAGAATTGGCGATGGTATGTGTGTGTGTGTGTGGGTATTTTATTTCATTCCATTTTGCCACGCGCGCACTTCCGGCATATTATTGTCTAGTTGTTGTTGTTGTTGTTATTGTTGTTGTTTGGGTGGCCGTCAGTCTGCCGTGAAGGAACTTCGCCTGTCCTGCCATCCTCGCCGGCATTTCCGGTCAGCACAAAACTTTCCGCTTCCCCTCTTTTTTTTTACCCACTTTTTGCAACTTTTTTTGTATATTGTTTTTTTTTTTGCCTCTGCATTCGGCAAAGTTCAAGCGTTTGCGCCTTTACGCTAAATTGAATTTAATGCCACGGGCCCATCCTTCTACAAATGTCCTTTGACATGGACAAACAAAGTAATGACAGAGTCGAAACTTTGATGCCTGATTGGGAAGCGCCCACTCCCAATTTCCCACACAGAAAGAAAACACTCGAAACGATGAGTTGGGGAATCGCATAAAATAAATCTAGCAGTGGTATATATAATTTAACACATGTTTTGGTACCACAAATATATTCATTATATTATTTTTTTAAGGAACTTTGAAGTTTAATTTGATTGTCTTTTCCGTTACATAATATTTAACAATAATAATGGATTTGTACCATATTATTAGTATTATAGTAAATTTTAATACAGCGATAAATCTTATTATTCATATTGAGAGAGCAAAGCTTAATAAATAAGATAAGCAAGACTGTTTCTGAATTTTAATTTAGTTAAAATCGATTTGATATATATTAGATATGTTAATGTTTAAGCTAAAATTTCTTTTTTTTCACCTCAAGTGTCTGTAATTTCTCCCCGTGCACCTTAACAATAGCAACTTTGTGCTGACAAACTCAACTAACAAACTCTGTTTTCTGTTTATTGCAGATAAGGACATACGTGCTCAGATCCATGCGGCCAGCGACTCGTACTCCTCGCACCTGGTGGGCTGCGATGCCAGTAGACTGCTACTGCACCAGCAGTTGCAGGGCCAGCATCCGCATCCGCATCCGCATCCGCATCCTCATCATCGGAACAACGAGGCGGGATTTTACCAAATCGAATCGCCGCCCTGCTACACAATTGCCACCGGACTGCCCAGCTACGATGAGGCACTGCATCACCAGCCCCGGCACTTTGCCTACGGCATGAAGTTCGTTTATCCCTCGCTGGCGGCTGTGCATCATCATCATCATCACCAGGCCGCCTGCATTTCCAACTGGGAGAAGGACGAGCGGCAGGAGCAGTCACTGAATAAGCTGCAAAAGTGCAAGCTGTCAGCGGCAGTGCAGGAGGATAAAGCCGACTCCTCGTCCTCATCCTCATCCTCATTCTCATCCTCCAACTCATTGCAAGCCACAGCAACGCCTGCCATTTGCATTAACATGCCGAATGGGCGACAACAGGAGAAGGAGAAGGATGAGGAGGAGGATGATTCCGCTGTGGCTGTTGCAGTGGCACAAAGTTTGCAGCCGGCGGCGGCTGCCGACGATGATTGCGCCTCATTGGTTGTCGTTGTTGCCGCGTGATTGCCCAGCCAGGGGTCAGGGGTCAGGGGTTAAGGGGTTAAGGGGCGGGAGTAGCAGCCCAATTGCTTAGTCACTTGTAAATAGTTGCATCGTCTGCTAATGTTGTTTGCCCCCTATAATAACATATATCTCTCGAAAAGCCCTAACCTCCCTTAAGCAAATTTAGTTTCGTTTTTAGTTATCTGTTATATTATTGTATTATGCAAGACTGAGTATTATTTATTGTACTATGTATAAAACCGAATTGTCTATCGATTAAGTCCTAATATTTAAGCGAGAGTGGAAAAGAAAATATAAAACACAAATGAACACATTGCAAACTAAATTGAAATTTTGGTTTTCGTTTTCTTATCAGTTTTTTCAGTTCCGCCACATGCCAAAAACTAAAGTTCCTCGATTTTCAGTCCCATTGTTGACCTTGTGCACGCATCCTAATCCCTCAGATACTCGTACTTGGCCGAAGCAAATATCAGAAGCCATTTGGGGTTTCGGATTTGGTTTTGTTTTGAAATTATCTACGTGACTTGGATGCAGCTGGTCGAGATTAGGTCAGCAGAAATGCACTGCAGCAAGGGGAATTCCCCGGGAACGTGCATTGCTGAAAGGATTGTTCAACGACCCTTTCAAGTGTTGCTTAAAAATCTGGCCAAATAATGAATTAAATGTAAAGAAGCTTAAGAGAATTGTCAGCTGGTTACAAGAACATGAGATAAAATCATTTTGCCAGATAAAGATGTAAAACAGTTTAACGAATGGTGATCTTATGGCTTCGATAGTTCTCAGAAATATATATCTTAAATTTCATTAAACTAAATTTCATGAAAGATAGCAAACGAAATCGTTCAAGAAAATTGTGATTTAATTTTTAAGTATACATCACATTTCCAAGTATTTATTTCTTATTTCTTCTTCCAAAAAATTCCGCTTAAATTTCCAACAATAAAATCCTCCCCCGCAAAGACATCCTTGATCATCAACTAACAAACACAGATAGTTTCTTAATGTTGCAGTTACTACGATTAAATAGAAACATTAACTAGAGTTAAAACCTAAAGCTAAAGCTCACGAACAAAAAAAACCCAAATAAATATTGTCTACTACGCGGAGGAGAAAAGGAAGAAATTAAATATGCAAAAATATATATGAAAAAATATTACCAAACCAAAAGAAAGTCTTGAAAGTTTATTTACAAGTCTGGGATTTCAGGTCCTCAGGCAATGAACCTAATTGGGCACACAGCGCACAGCAATCCAAACCTAACAGCCAACAAAGCAGCACTAAAACACGAGTTAAAGTTTCGTGCGAGCATAAATAATTTCATGTCAAATTTGACACTTTTGTTGAAGCTTCTGCGTCTTTAATGCTGCAATTTGTATTCAAATGTACGATTTGTTGATGAGTCCAAGGGGCAGAGGCGAAGGGGCAGAAGGGGCAAAAGAGGCAGAAGACGGACGGATACGGACGGAGGCACTGGCATGGCACATCAAACATTCCATAACGCAACTGAGAAGTGAGCGAGGAGCTGCAAACACCAAACAGGGCCATAAATTATGTTATCGTGCATCGTGTATCTGGTTCAGGTCGCAGTCATGAGTGACTATGCCTCAAAACTGGGCAACAGCAGGGGGATTCGGCATGGGATTGGGAATGGGACTGCCAACGGGATTGGGATTCGGGATCGGGGATTGGGGGATTGGTGACTGAGGACTGCGGACTGCGGACTACGGACTGCCGACTGGCACTGACATCAACACCAGCAGCTACATCCACAGAACTTGTGGCTCTGGGTCTCTGTTTGTCGTGGTCGTGCTTTGCGTTCTTGCCATGATTTGCCGAAATGCACAAAAAACACAGTCCAAGACAAAAAGTGTAAAGCTCTGGGTAGGTAAGCCGAATACGAGATGCCCTAATAATTGGAAAAGGTTCAGATAAGTAATAAAGAATTGGAAAGGTATATTCTCACCTTTGTTCTTCTTTATGGAGTCAATTTGAAAATATTAACCCATATTTTTTAAGAGCTTAGACAAATTAATTTATGTATTTTTTTAAAAGGTTTTGAAATTCAAAGAGTTTATATTTTGTGAGTTTTAATTAAAAAACGTTGATAAAAAATTAAGCGAAAGAAAAGTTAAAAGTGCTAGAAGTGAATTTAAAGGTGATATATATACTAAATTAATAAATATGCAATGCTCCAAGCTTTTTTTTCTAACAGAACACATTTTTTTTGTTAACAATAGCATTGCAACGTCTTTTAAAATTAAAAATAAATAATTATAAAAAAAGTGATAAGGCCATCTCCCCTTATAAAAATTATGAACTGTTGTAAAACAAAGCTAATGTAGTTTAAATAATATTTCGAGTTATTGCGCCAAACTTCCTATAGAAGTAGGGATACCCTACACTGCCGAACGCTGCCCAAAAGTTACCATGACCCCACCAAGGTTAGCCAGGGTATGGAAGCTTCACGGGACAAAGGTGGGCGGAGTGGGAGTGGCAGTGGCTGCCCAACAGATAAGCGATATGCGGTCGGCATTCATACATGCCAGTACCTGTGTTATGTGCTATGTGTTACTACTGTACAGTGGGTGTATCCCAGTATCTAAATTCCGGAGTACGGTACGTTTTTATGGGTATTGCACGTGTGTTGGCCGTAATTTGTTAAACGGTTTTTCAGATTTTTTTTTCCTTCGGCAGAGTTCATTGAACAGGTTGTTTTGGCCTGACTTTTCGGTCTACTCTTGTTTGCCCCATTTTGTGGGCGGCTCATAAATCTCGGAGACATTAATTTGTTTGTCACCTGTCGCACATGCGGTTGAATAAGATGTGTGGCCCTCTTAAATGAGTGCAATTAAATGCCTAATGACTCTGATGACTCCGATGACAATCGGCAAATCGGATTAAATTTATAGGAGAAAATAATTCATATATTGTCTACGGCTTGCAAAGCTTATATCAATACGTTTATGCTGTCATTCATTACAAGTTTCTCGTTGTCTGGATGGCTTATTGGCTTATAAGGCTCTCTTGTAACTAAAGGTTCAATCCAACGGCCAGTAATCTGCTGGCCCGATAGTTTTCTGATCTCATCTTCGCTAAGTTCCTCCCATTGCGGTGTGTATTCCATATTAACATCTGGCAGTCCTTCTGAGAATTGCTGTTTAGTAAAGCCTTTCATTTCGTCGCCTAACAACTTGGGCTCTCTGATTTTGATATCACTTTCTAGAAATACCTTTGACCCTGGTAAAACATAAATATTTTGCATGTTGTCATTTGGCGATGGATAAACCGTGACTACTTCTTGGTCTCCATTTCGAATGTCACTTCTAGAATCAGTATCGGTTAGATGTCCACGATTGCGGTCCAAAGGTGGTGCCTTGGGTATTATATATATGTTTGAAGTGTCGTCAGACTTGGGCATTTTCTTAACTGTAGGACCATCATTCGGCTGGTGTTCTGCCGAAGGAAAATCGATAGGTGGATTACCAAGGCCAACTGCCAATTTTCCTTCGGCAGCACCAAACTCTAACCATGGTCCAGCATGGTCCTCATTGGTCGTTTGATGTACTATATCGTTTGACCCAACTGATTTCCCAAACTCTCTTGCATCGGCGTCATCGAATGGCACCTCCCCATCGATACCCTGAGTTATATATTCAGGATCCCAGTCATCAGGTTTACGATTTGCTTTTGGAACATTGCTGCGGGCTCTTTCCCTATTCCCCCCTCTATAACTTGGCCTTCGATGGTAAACCGACCAATCGATCGTGGAGTCTCGGTTATTTGGCCTGCGTCTGTCTATGGGGTCTATTTCATTAGGGTCCCGATGCCCATGTCCTCCTCGAGGTACTTCTTTTCCTCGGCCTTTTGGAATCTGTGGATAATCATCGCCATCGGCATTATCGTCGTAATCAAAACTTGTAGTAAGCCAGGGATCATCCTCCGAGGATGGCCTTGTTGTTTGACCTATATAGATAAGATTATAAGTCGATCCATAGGAATGAAAATATAAATATTTCTCACTGAAGCTTGTCACCCAATCGGAATTAATGCCAAGATTTCTATATAAAACTCGGGTTTCATTAGAAACCGGAGACGGGGTAGAGGTTTCCATCCAGGAATCGGCCGTTATAGGTCTGTAATTGGTCTGCCAGTAGAATGTTAGCCAGAAAATGATGAGAAAGTCATGAAAGAGTATCAGAGAGGCCAGAAAAAAATCATTCAAACGCATTTCAGCGAATCGGTTCCCATTGATAGTTTGTCCATGGTACATCACGAACTAAGGCATTTTAATTTCAACTTAAAACTTATGGAATTAAAGATGTACCAACCGTTAAAATCGTTAGGGTTACAGATAGTTCTACCACTAAATAGGCATACGGACTCGTTTGCCCAACCAGAAACTCAAATAATAGGATAAAACTGGCGATAATCAGGAAGAGAAATGCGATTATGAATATAATTGCGATGTCTAGGGTAAGATCCATCTGAAATAAATGTAAATAGGCAGTTAGAAAATTGTTCAAACTGTACTCTTTTTTGTTACTTTCGCTGGTAGAAATACTCCTATGAGCAGGAACAAAACTACCAGTATTAAGGCCACTGCAAAAAAGGTCAGAACATCTGCCCACCAACTCAGAGCGACTAGAATAAATGTTGATATGATCTGAAGCTCCACCTGTAATATGTAGATAATAATTATAACAAAATGTTCTATAACTCCAATTACAATCACTCACAATAATCAGTGCTACGAGAAAATTGAGACATGTGACGAAGCGTAGATCCTCAACAAATATGAAGATTGCGAATAACAAGATGGCCAGTGCAAAGGTCACTAAACAGATGTAGTATAGCGATCGGAATGTCTCCCGTGCATCTTCACTGATGGAAGGTGTAATTGATTAATGGCTGCATTGGTTTCAGTACATAAACTTACATTAAAACGATTACCAGCCACTGGATCAGGGCCAAAAGCAGCCACAGGAACAATAGGCCATAGGTCTTCACGGAAAACTTTCTTCGCGCCTTTCGATAAAAGCGATGTTCGTCCAAGGCATACATCGTAACTCATGGGTCTGTTATGTAAACTGCAAATTTGTCCACGATCACTAGTATCTAGAAAAGAAATATCCAACTCTTGAGGTTTGCGTATAATATGGAGAACAATTTTAAAAGAAGTCACAAAACTAATGTGATTCGAAAAAAAAAGCTTTTCCATTTTTTACTTTATTGTTCAATACATTTTTAGTTTACAATTTTTACCTTTTCAAGGTTGCCATTTATCATTAGCCCAATCATAACTGGTTTCATTACTTATTTCCCAGTCCTCGTCATCTGGCCGTAAATCTGTAATTTGATAATTTTTTCAATGAGCTGCCCAACATTTGTGGCTCCCTTACCATATTCATAATCAGGATTAATGGGAGTTGTGCCCTGTGATTGCTTGTTACTTGTCGACTTCCAAAAGAAGTCATCGGTTGTGAAATAGTTATGGTTAATCTGCCAGTAGAAAGTCATTGCGTACGTGATCAGAAACTCGTGGAAAAGAAACAAGGCGGCCAAAACAAAATCATCCAAGCTCATCTGGATCAGTCGATCGCCATTAATTGTTTGCGCATGGAGCATGGTTATCTTTTAACAGGTTATTAGTAAAATAATATATGATGCTAAATAGAGCTTACCAATATCATCACTATGGTGAGAACAACCTCAAAGGTCAGATAGGCATAGGGCAACATGTTGGCCATAAAGACATGGGCCACCATGAAATACAGCGAGACTGTGACAAATATAAAGCTCATGAGAAATATCGGCGCTATATACTCAGTCAAATCCATCTAAGAGCATAATTACTGAATTAAATATGGTTCTTATATTTATTTTTATTTTTATTTTTAATAGTGTTACCGTAAAAGATAGATTACAGCCAATGACCAAGGCCACAATCATTATGAGCACGCAGAAAAAGTAGTAGGCCAGCAGATCTGGAACCCAAGTTCGAGCAACTAGCACGAGCATTGAAATGACATGCAGTTGCACCTAAAGGATATATATTTAATAAATGAAAGTTTAAAAATATACAAAATTAACTTACTATCAGAAGGGCCACAACCCAGCTGAAAATCTTTTTGCTGCGCATATTTTCATTAAAGACAAACATGCTAAAAAGTATGCCAGCCAACGCAAAGGTGGCCGAGCAGTAAATCTCAAAGTCACGGAATATTTTACGAGTCAACTCCCTGTGAGAGCAAATATCAGGTAATATCTATACTATTGATTGCAGATAAAAAGTACCCACAGCAAACAGACAATGATCCACTGCACTAAGGCTAAGGTCAAAAAGATCGCAAGGGCTGTGTAAGTATGGCGGGCAAGCCGTTTCCGTTTCTGTCGAGACTCCTCCATATCTCCGAAAATGGTAATAGGAAGTTCGAAAGAAAGACCATTACCGGCAAATTTGGCGCTTAAAATTGAGTTGTTCAAAATGGCATACGAAATTTGGTAATATGTTAATCCTGATGGATTTGTGAGAGGTTGCTATTATTAGTTAAAAGAAGCTCCAAGATAACATCACAAAAGCTGGCCTTCACAGAAAATAAATTGAAATTGAAGGAAAAATTTAAGATTTAAATGCTAGTCGATGGGGTAATTACAACCATTGTTATAATTATACTCCGAAAACCCGGACTGTTAACAAAACTTTTTTTTTTATATATTTTTTTTATTTTGGCAACTTGGTTAAAAGGCGCCACAGATGTAAAAGAAAACTGTTCTATAATGCTGATCAAAAATAAATAAAACATTTTAACTTTTGGCGAACTTTGTAAATGTTTTCTGAAATATAGAAACAATTAAAAGTGCTTTTTAACCTATTAAGGAATTCAATTACGAGCTCGATAAAGAATGACACTCCATAAAGTGTCCATTATTTACATTGTACTGTTTTTTTTTGGTGGCAGAAATCATAAAAAACATTTAATTTGACTTATTCCAACGCCAACAATAATTTACAAAAAAAAACTATCGTTGTAATGGTGTTTATTACTTAACATAATATTTTCAAACTGTCAGCAATGCACTTCGCCCTGAGGCATTCCAATTTGCTTGAGTATCTCAAAGATACAGTTTGCCCTATCATTGTGTCAACCAACTTGCTCAGTTAACACACAGCTGCGACCTGGCCCCGATCCCGATACAAATACTGTAGCTACAGTGAACACACGGTGGGGCGGCCAAGCGGCCAAGCGACCAAGCGGCTAATGCGTAAAATCAACAAAAATTAACGGGGGGCAAACAAGACGAGCACGGAGCCAAGGTTGAGAAATTTGTGCTCAGCTCGATGCAGCAAACAAATTTGCACTTGTTAGCTCGACTTTGGGTTCTGTTTTTTTTTTTTTGTTTTTTGTGTCTTGTGTGCTGGCAGCGGAGAAAATAGCGCAGAATATGCCAAAGCGACTGTCAACGGCAAGTGTTAAAAATGCCAGATAAATAATGCTGGAGCAGCCAGACAAGAGCCACAATGGCAAACAGACTCACTAATGAGCTGACTGCACTGTAAACTCAACTTTGCTGGCTGACATGCTGACATTCTGACAGATTCGGCTGAGGCATGTGCGTCACTCGCCAAATACACAAAAAGGTACAATTTGCATACTAAGCCCAGCCGCGCGTCACACGGTGCGTATGAGCGACGGCGAATAAAAATCATTTAGCGACACATTTGGCATATCAAAATGGCTTTAATGGCGTGTGGCATTCCCAATCAGCAGCAGCCGTGTGTGCTTATGAGCTCCCGCCCAAAATACAAAAAAAGAAAGGAAAAAAAACGACTTGAGAAGCAGCTAACTGTCGCCGGGTAGCTCAACTATCTGACTGGCATGCAAAATTAATTACGGGCAGAAATTTATTTACGACGACGAGGAGGTTTCTTTCCGCGCGCTGCGGCAGCCATAAAAGTTTTACGCTTTAGCCGAATTTAGTAGCCAGAAAACGGAGCCCAGCCACCAGAAACCAGCTACCCGAATGCAGCTTAGATACATTCTCCTTTGGCCGTTGCCATAAAATCCAGGCGCTGATGACACTTCGCCAGCTGCATTGCAGTGGATGTGGACGTGGATGCGGATGTGGATGTGGCTGTGGATGTGTCACCACTGCGGTGGTTCCTCCAGCTACTGCAGCTAGTGGGAATTTTACGAGCTTTTGCAACACTGGTAAATAGTGGTTCGAGGGGGGATCCCTGCCCCCCCCAAAAAGGGTGTGCCGAAAATCACACCACTTGAGTGCGCGTAATGAAATTTTAAGCAGCATTCGGTTCTGTTTATGATTTCAGCTGTAAAATGGATGCTTTCGGCGGTACCTCTAATTCAATTTGGCTTGGCAAGTGACTGGATTTATTTGTGGTCAAAGGGTGAAGCATTTTTGTGACATTTTTCGACTGTATTTACATTGTGTCAGCAAATACAATTTGCCAAAATATATAAAACATGTTTATTTATGCTATAAATTTTTAATTCGTTTTGTTTTTAGTTGTTAAAATAATACAGTAACTATACTAGTCAAATTCCACTGAGAATCTTTATTTTAATATAATCAAATCTTTTAAAGTTAATTTGCAAGTAGTTCTCTAAAATTTAAGGGTTATAGCTGAAGAAGTTACTTAATGTTACATAATACATTAATTAGTTTTATTGAATATAAATAGTTCCATTTTATTTTTATTGTCAAATAATGTTTGGATAATTTCTTTATTAGACACATATTAATAAAACTTTTTGGTTTAAGTTTAATCAATACCAACACTCCATTGATAAGCAAGAAGAAACGCTATAGTCGGGTGATCTGGCTTTAAGGTACCGGTTACTCCGCTAATCAACTTTAAAATAATAAATATGCCCCCTGAAAATATTTGGGAACGTGTACATTAATGATCATAACTTCTTAAATAATGGTCCGACTTGGAATTGTATTGTATGAGTCGATATATTTTGATCCAATAAACATGTACAGCTTTATGACTGATCTCTACCATGTCTAAGAGTACCGAGACAGACATTCGCGATTTGTGGACGTTTGATTAATCGTTGCTTGACTTGGAACTTAAACTTACCCAGCTTGAGCATAACTAGAACCTACATTTTAACTCCCAAATCTCTAGCTTTTATACACACAATATATGAAATATGTATACCATTTTTCTTACGTGTATAAAAAGAGACGAACTATTTAGCCTTTAAGTTAAATGGAAATATTTTACTAAAATAGTTACCACTTGAATATTAGTAGTCCCGCTGCAGATTAGTTACACCTAAGCAAACAAATAGCCAGGGCAATCGAAACCGCTTTCGATTCCGTAGATTAGCCGCATATTAGTTCCTATCAAACTGGGTCGCCGTCAGTTTATTCCACTCATAAAGTACACTACAAAACATATGTGTATGAGGAAATGACGCTGACTTAGGTCAGGGTTTGGTTTAAATGGCGATAAGCCGATGTACTAGTATAAAACGAAGAACAGTGCGGCCAACTGGCTGTTTGTCTAAGCCAAATGCAAACAACTAGCAGACGCTCATTAGCAGCAGCAGCACACGCCGGAGATAAGGACCACACCGGGTCCGGAGATAACTTCGTTCATGGACCCCAATCCGGATAGATAAAATGCCGCAGGCCAAGTTCAAAGAGGCGGCGAATCATGTGTCGTCACATGATCAAACAAAATGAGCAGCAAATTAGAGTCAGCGACTGTCACTACCGCCGCCAGGAAAATCAACCGGCGTGGAAGGGGTACTGCTCCATTTCCATTTAGATTTTCCACTTGCGCCGCAGACTTGAACGTGACCTGGCACTTTAGTGACACTCTCATAATCGAAGTGGAGTGGAGTGGAGCGGAGTCGAATGTTTTTCCTTGGTCCAGCGCCTCTATCAGTTTTACGACTTCCTTTCCAGTCAAAGTCTGGTCAAATAAACGAGAAGGCTTCTTTGGACCACCGGCTAGCTGCAATTAGTTTTTTTTTTGTGGCTCGCTTTAGTACCTTTATCTTAGCTAATTGATATTTATTGGTCGAACACGTTCCTCCACTTCGCTCAGGTGAAAATGTGAAAATTCTCGTGGTGCGTTCGTTTTCGATTTTCCTTTCTCAACGTATTGGCAACGGTGAAATTATGGGTTGGATGGTTATACTTTATTGGGGCATGCGGGAACGATTCTGGGCAAGCGGTGACTCAGACATTGACTTAAGATCCGTTGGGTCAAGTCAACGATGGAGTCACGTTTTTGTTTTACACAGAAACAAGATTAGAGTCGTAAACAGTCGAGGACTCGGTTGGGAAATGGCTGGGAAA